GTTAGGTCCCTAGCATGTCAAAGTAGAAGTCATGCATACTCCTCACAAGTTGGAATAGACAAATTAGACAATTTTTTGCTAAGCACAAGGCATAAGTCAAAAGGAACTTTAAATCTCAAAATTGCTAAAGTGAGGCTTTTTTTAAGCACTAGACAATAAGCATTCTTATTTCCCTAACAAGTCGATAAAGATAAACCAGGTTAATTCCATAATTAAATTTATTAAAGCATAAAGATAAGACCGTCAAATTTTAAATTTCAATCTCAATAAAAGAAAAATAAAATATCTTATAGTGCAATGAGCACAAAGTGTTGGATCGATGATAACCTTCGATTTTCTTAATATGCTATTACAACTCGGTCAATGAAATATAAATTTCATACAATGAGCTTCTATAAAAAGCAATCCTCTCAAATTAACCAAAGCCAACATGCAATATACATTAAAAATAGATTTTAATGATGAAATTCAACATGCCAAAGCTTAATTAATATTTTCCAATGACACTTATGAATAGTCTAAGAAATTTATGAAGTTAAATCCTTCAGTGTGACATTCAAACAATTAAAAATCAGCAGGGTTAATCAATTTATAAAATATATTTTGAGGAGTCATTTTATGACCTCATATATGCTCTATCTTCAATTCAATTAAATGCAAGAGTAGTGATAAAGGATGGATGTGACATGAAATCAAGCTCAAAATGCCTTGACCACAGTTAAAACTAATTAATTGTTGCTCGTTTTGTATATCTTGACACATCCAAAATATAAAAAAATAACTTTGATAGAGGGACCGACCAATCCTTTCAAGCATGGGTTTGCCTTATATTTGGACTGGGGCCCACTCCTCTTTACCTCACGAGTATATACATATATATGTGTGTGTATATAAATATAGACACACACACACACACACACGTGTATATACATATATATGTGTGTGTATATAAATATAGACACAAACACTCACACACTCATGTGTGTGTGTGTGTGTGCGAGCGCGCGCGCACACGCTTGCGTGCTTCCCCGACCTTCATGTCGGCACTTGACCTGCTATCATCCCCCGCCAAAACTATTCTGCGTATAGTTTAATTGTTGTCCAATTTGCAGCCACCCATTACAACCCTGGTTGCTCTACCACCGCTCTCCCACC